AAATCATTGACGTTTCTACTTTTACAATAATGGATCCAACATGATCTTAAACGAGAGGCGAACTGCAAATGAGTTTCTCCAGTCAACCTTTGAGCTTGGCGAAAATTTTCTAAACATATAATTGGCGATGGTTCATATTCCTTAAGAATTAAAGATTTAATTTTTCATAATCTTTCAAATCATCATCTTTAATATATACTAGAATATTAGAAGATTTATCACCTATCAGTTTAAGTAAAATTTCAGACTTAAACTCATTTGGTACGTTCTTATGCTAAAAAGCCCTTTCTATGGAATCAAAAAATAAGTTCCATGCTTCACCCTTTTTAGGTACAGAAATCGATAATGCCTGTACAGCTTTCAAAAGCTTATCTAATGAAAGTGTATTTTTCTACGTTATTACTAGATTCGTTGCACTTTCAATTTGCATTAAACGCAATTTCACAATTTCTTCTGACTTTTTCCTTTCTTCAACCGTAGTATTAAGAAATTCAATAACAAAATCTTTATCTTTCAAATATTCTTTAGAACTTAAAAGCTTATATTTTAATTCTACAACTTTTAAACTAGAATCGGCTTCTTCACCTAGTTCCTTCAACACTGAAATCAAATCACTTTTAATTACTCCTTTAAACATATTTAGAAGAAATTTTCCTTAAAGTTACAACAAAAATTTCTCACCTTTTCTCCAAAATCCAGTCGGCTTCGTTAGCTCTGGTTCTCGAAAGAGAGCGTGCTGTAATGACCTTACGGATTGATAAGGCACCATAAGGAAACGACACTAACATTTATTAAAAATTAACTTTCAAAGAATAATGAAAAAAAAAATAACATTTAAAGAATAAAGGCAAACTCGGAGCACTACCTCGCTCCTACAACATAATTAATCTATCACCTGCCTCCTCTGAGGCTAACATGCAACTCTCTTCTCTCTCACTTGCTGGGCTCTGCCAGGCAGCTGATTGGCTCACCGCTGCCAGATACATCACAAATGCAAAACATTTATTTAAAGGGCATAACTTGCAGAGTATTCATACTCAAACATAACAAGCCAATAAGGATCAAAATTTCATTCCCTAAAAGACAAATCAACTGTATATGCCTAAAGCTCATATTTTTCACTAATTCCTCTTTCCCTGAATAGCAAAAATTTCAAAATTTGACTTGAACAGAGCTCTTGTCTTGAAAGATTTAAAAAAAAGACTTAAAAAATATGACAGAGCTTTGTCTGTGTCAAAGAGAGTCTTGTCAGAGTCAAAGAATTTGAATGGGATCAGAGAAGCCATTTACATTCTCGGTTTAGTGGTCACCAACACGGTGTCCTGAGAAATGTTTATTGTGTCTTCATTTTCCTAGAGTTAGGTTCACTACCTGTCTTACAGAATATTAGTATAGAGAAAAGAAAAGTGCGAGTGACGATAAAAGAAAATTAATATAAAAGTATCTTCCATTATGGATGAAATGTGGATCCTAACATTCTGAAACTTGGATCATTTTAAAAGTTCATAATTTTTTCATTTAATCTTGCAGAAATTCTGGAAAAAATATGAGAAACACAAAAAAGTTTAATCAAAGATATCCATGCAGTTGGTTATATTTAAATGCATGGGAAAAAGGACAGGACCAAAAGCTTCATTCATCATAAGCCATATTTGTTATAATGGGGTTTAGCTGCATTTCAAAAACATGCATGTTTTTCCTTTAAAAAAGTGCAGTCATCTTTGAAATCTTGAATGCCCTCTTAAGCAACTCTTTAAGAAACCTGTCATACATTTATTCCAATAAAAATTTGCCATTCATGTCATGAAAATAGGTTCGCTGATATTGTAGACAGTTAATAGAATAACTCGAATGTCAATTTTCTATGATATTCCAAATTTTTATCAGTTCTGGTGTGTGGAGCTGCTGCATTATGAAGAGCAGTTTTTTAATGCAAGAGTGAAACTTTTTATTCTCACTGCAAATCACCAAGTTTACTTCCATGAAGACAGTGCTTCTGTTAGGTAGATAGCTGTTGTGGGTTTTGTCATATTCAGTTAAATATACAAACTCCCTGAACATTATATGGGGTTCATTGTAAAATCTTTGAGATACAGTTAATTTTACAACTTACCAAATCTTTTCAGTAGTTCCCACAACACAATGCATTTTTGTAGGCAGACTTTCCAAAGATCAAATCCTTCAAACTTTCCATTTCTTGAAATTGATGACAAATGCCATTTTATGGCTTCATCAATCTTATTTTCAGAATGAAAATGACAGCCGTGTAACTTTTGCTTTTGATTAAAAAAGAGCTGAATATTATATATAGTAACATCAGAACATGGTTTTATCACTTTATGTATTTTTGTTCAAAAAATTTGATTGCCAATCTTGCTGAATGAGAAGATGCATTATTATGGTGAAGCATGAGTCATCTAACATTTGTTTCTCAATTTCTGAAAGACACTTAATTGTGTACTAGTTAGCTATAATTGTCTCCTGTTTCTCTAATTGGTGGTTTTGATCAGTCCTGTTTTTCTGAAGTAAACGACATGCATTACCTTTCAAACTGCTCATTGTCAATTTGGGGTCATCTTCAAAGATCTATATTTTACTTTCTTGGTGTTTTGGAATGTCAGAAATGGTATTTACATTTCATCACCAGTTATGATTTTAGTAATAATGTGGTGTCTACCATCATTAAGTAATTTTGGTATACTGTTCTTCATGAATAACTCTATGTATCCTATGGATTTAATGTTAAGTTCCTTCTATATGCTAATTGTAGATGTTTAAAGTGTTTGTCTAATCTAGCCCACTTAAAAATCATAGCTTGATAATGCTTTTGCTTCAGCTTGAATTTCTTTTCTTTCAAAAGGTATTCTGCAATAAATAAATGGTCATTTTTGTCACAAATTATTCAGACTTAGATAGCTAACAAATAATTGTTTCTTAGAAAATAATGTCTGTCCTAGTTTAAAAATTTTCAGTTACCTGTGTACTGCTTGATAAGCGAAGTATTCTCAAACCAAGTACAGGTAAGAGTAATCACGTTTTTATTTTATATATAATATTATTATTATGTTATCATCATCTTATATAAATTTAAGTACTTCTTATAGCTAGCAGCAACTTTTGAATTCCCCCCTCTAATTTCAAAATTTAGGGTGGGGTAAGGGAAGCTGTTAGGATAGATTATTTAAATATGGTAAAGTACACAAGAACTATCTGCCTAAATGGATGAGAGCCTTCATGGAGGATTTTCTAAAGGAAACTGGCTCATATTCACACGAAACACAGGGAAACCAACTACGCAGCCAGCCCATTCGCCTGGGTCGAACTCTCATTATTTGGCAGTCATACTTACTCACCAAACTGTGTGACAAAAAAGGAAGAATTTGACACAATTTAATGCATGTATGCAATTACAGATATTTCTTAGGTTTCTGAAATTCTCATATCCTTTAAGTAAAATATTTATTTAAAATTATTCTATTAGATTTTTCTTTTGTAGTAATGATATAAAACATTGCAGACATGTGAGTATTTTGCATGACCTACATACATATTTTTTGTTTGTAAAACTGTTCTTCTTTCCATTCCACTGGAATTTTGTCAGATTTTATCACATTACAGACTTCTTTCTTGATTATTTTTGGACTCCACAAGGCAGATAATAACTATAGAAATCAAAAAAATACAAAGGTATGCAGTTCTTTGATTTCTGTAATCTTGAATATGGTGCATTACTAGTTGCATTAACATCAGTTGTTGTTGTATAAGACCCATTTTTCGTCCCCAGTAATAATCCGCTTCAAAAATGGATCATTTTCCTGACGTTTGAGGAGCGAATCACACATGTCAACGTGACGACACAAATTTCGCTTCGTAATAACATAGGGCACCCACACATCGAGCTTCGAGGTTAAGCCTAGGCCTTTCAAGTGGCCATAAACAGTCTTAATTCGACAAATGTAACCTCTTACCAATCTCTCGTGTGGTTATTAGCCGATTTGCATCAACTAATGCCTTTCGCATCTTTGTGAGCTTTGACCGGCCTTCTAGACCGTGGCGCATCTTCGACATCAAAATTGCCGGATCAAAACTTTGCAAACCAGTTCTGGCACTGGCGTACTGTTAACACGCCTTTTCCATACACATATGTCAATTTTTTCTCGCTTGGACAGCATTTTTACCTTTTCTGAAGTAAAAAAGTAAAATATGACAAAAATGCTGCTTATTGCTCTCCATATTTAAAAGGGCACCAACGAAAAACTACTGCGTAGAATTAATAGAACTTTTTCACACACAAGCCTTGTAATATCAGCTCTCAAGACATATAATGGTTATGCGGCTTAAGAGTGAAGTTGGTTTCGAAAAAATATAATTAAGTCCTCCGACGGGAAAAAACGAAATTACTTTCCGAACAACCCAATATAATAAGTTAAATTACCTTTGTCAACTCAATCACAATCACCCAGTGCTTCATTTTTGGAAAATCTTAAAAACTTAATTTTGATCGTATATGTTATCTAATTGAAAATCCCAATTTCTGTGAAAAGATTTACCAGTTCTTTTTGTTTTGAAATCCTAAAATTAAATTTAGTGTTAAAATTTTCACAAAAATACCAAAGCTGTTCAAAATAAATATGCAACATGATGAAAATTCTTATATAATTCAGTATGTTGGATAAAAATATAAACATAACATTATTTCACAAACTAAAACAATACCTAAAGAAGAAAAAACACAATAACAGTCTGATAACTTGTGGATAATGAGAAAATTTGTCTTATCTTATAGAACTCTCTGTTAATTAGATTGAAAATAATAAGTTAATGGGTGAATTTTACTCAACATGTGGGTTGGAAGGTTAATGATGTTTTTGCCCATTTATTCTTCTAATAGAAAGCTTCGAATAAAGAAGTGTGAATCATGTTGTATATAGTTTTATATTAATATTATTATTTAGGAATTGTTAATATTTAAAAATTCAGAATTCAATTAACTTTTGCAGATGCCTCTGGAAATCACTAGAAGCTTTATAGAAAATAGAGATGGTACATTTTCACCATGCGAACCACCACTTCAGAATGAAAAAGATGATGTGACAGAAAACTTTAGAAAAAAAAATAACTTACTAATTAAACCATTTGAGTTGAAAACATTTTTAAAAGTGGGTATGTATATTTATGTTTCACATACTTTTATACATTCAAGTCTCTTAATTGTATTTTTCTTCTTAAAAATCTTTTGTTTACTTTTCTTAGGAAATATGACTTTGGATCAGAAATTGCCAACTCCATTTATAGTTGAATGGATACCAGATGTTCTACCTAAAACTCATGTGGGAGAATTAAGAATAAAGTTTGAATATGGACATCAGAGAAATGGCATTATAGGAAATCCATTTAGTACACACGTGCAATCACAGCCTAAAAGTACTTGCATTTAAATTTCAGTAAATTTTAACTATTTTCTTCTTATATACAATTATAAAAAAACTATTTTTAAACTTATGCTAATTGTCATTTGAGCATAATATATGAAACAAAACCCTATGTAATATATGCATGTTAGCTTTGTTTTTTTTTATTTTATATAAAATTTATTAATTATTAAAAACTATACATATTTTATTGAATTGTCTTCCTTAATTATAGGGCAAGTTTAACATTTAAATGGTGGTAATAGTTTATTGTTTTGCAAAATATGATAAAATATACAGAAGCTATATAATTAGTAGATTAAAAGGCTTTTATTAATTAAGTCATACTTAAGTGAAATAATGAAATCAGTTTTTATGTGGAAAATGTACATACGTATTCCTGGCCATTAAATACAATGAGACGAGGTTTGTATTTTTGATTGAAGTATAAAAATTTTCATGATGAAAACTTGCATTTCAAAACTCAATTTATATATTGTGGACAGTAAAAACTGATTATATTTCACATTGTATCAGGAAAATTGGATCGTGTGTATAATTTTGATCACATAATTCATTTAGAAACTTCATGCTTCTATTCTTCAATTAAAAAAATAATAATAATACTTTTACTACAGTCATCATGAAATTTAAATACCCTTAATGGTAAAATAAAATATTTAATCTAACAGTGGTCACTGATTTATGTAGGCTATATGGGCACTCCACATTAACTTGAACATCAGTAATTAGCAAATCTAAACTTCTGTTGACTTACATTCAAATGAAAAACCCAACTGCATTTCAAGAAATGAATAAGTAATCTTTCCTGTTTAGAAGGAAATTACTCAACTATTCTGATAACTTTGTAATTTTTTAAGGCAGCTGCCTATGAGCATACTATGAGCATATGTTGAAGATGTTTTACAAGAAATATAGTTATGTGATGTAAATGTAATACTTTGATGTAAAATGAAGTAGTTGTGTTTTCTTTTAATGTAACAGTTAAAAGACTAAGAGTATAATATATTCAGACCTATGAAGTAATCTGAATAAATCTATTAGTTCACTCCTTTAAATACTGTATCAAGAGAGATTTTTGAACAGAGAGGAAACATTAAAAAATATCTTGGAAACTTTTACTACAAAAATTGAAAGTTCATAATTCATTGTTGAAAGATGTACAACAAAGTTAGTTTCATTCTAGGTTTGATTCCAAGTAGCAGGATAAGTTAGTTGCTAAAGATGAGTAACCTTAAAAAATTCTTCACAAAGTTATCATTCCTTAAGCAAAATAATTAGGCTAAAGTGCCATGTATAAAGAATAAACTAATTAACTGCAAAATCCAAAAGTCAGTATTCTGCTTCGAAACAAATATCGTATATTCCAGCGTATAATGTGCACTTTTAATATAAAAGATAAGATTGAAATTTATGGGTGTGCATTATATGCTGGATATAAAAATAGTAAGTTAAAAAATAAGGAAAAGAGCATACAGATATTAGATTTCTACCTGTACCTAAATGTTGTTTGTTTAAAGGAAATGACACAACTTGTGAACTGTGAAATTATCATATAATTTCCTTTAGGTAAAACATTTTAATTATTGTCCTTTTGTTCACTTAGAGGAAACATCCGACTCCTAATTCCGCAAATTCATCTGGGTCAGAAGTGCATTCTTACCCCCCAGGGTTGTACTGTCCTTAAGCTTTTTGGAATCAATTTTTGGTCCTTAATTGTGGCCAAAATCGTCAGGTCGTCCTTAATTTTAATCATCTGAAATTTCTATCTCTTTTTATAACTGCCATTTTGAGTGTGAATTAACATTTTGGAGTAATATTTTTGGCGATTTGCTGACAAATATGGTTATCTTTTGAATGGGTTATAATTTGTCCCTATTCCTAATATAAATGGTGGGATACTTGAGTTTCTGGCAAGAAGTAAAATATAAACATTTCAAAATTATTTCATTTTTTCTAATGAAGAGCTCTTAAACAACTTTTCGCTTTTTGAGATGTGAATACTTTAAACCGTTCTAAATTTGGCGACTTATCAACATTTGGCGATTTTAAGATCTATTTCTATAGAAAATTTTTAATTCCGAGATCTAAGAATTTTTCGACAGTTTTTTTAGAACATTGTAACATTGATAAATTTCATTTAAATAATGGTAATATTTTTTAATTATATTTATGAGATATTAGAAAAAGCATTTTTATTTTTTGCTGTGATATTGTATAGTTCCATTTCGGCCATTTATTATATGTGGAAAATAAGCAAGGTATAATGCTATAAAGCACCATTTACAAAACAGTTCTTAGCAAAAGCAAACTAGTTATGTAATTTATTAAAAATGCATTTTTAATATTTTCATGGTAAGAGTTTTCAAAATGTAATTGTCTCAGAATATTCAGAATTCTTAAAATATAAATCAGATTTCTCCAGAGCTTAAATTGCTGCTCTGGTACTTCTTAATTTTGGGGATAAATCATAATTCTACCCTGAGCCTAAGAAAGCTGTGACATTTCTTTTTTGTACCTGAACAAAATTTCAGTAGAAATTTGATATCGAAAATTGTATTTTTAGTAATAAAATTATATTAAAAATCAGTTATTAAATTTTAATTTCACTCTTCATATTTTAAATTTTTAAACCACTTAATTTCTTTAAGCATTAATTATTGAATTATTTTAATAATTAATATTTAATTTTTTAATCATTAGTGATTTTATTAGCCATTTTTATTTATTTATTTTTGGTACCTCTTTCCTGATGGTGTTCCACGGGGCTCCAGCACATCTAATTTTAGAAATTAAGCTCTGTTTTTCTCTATAAAATTAATTTTACACTTTTTTCCCCTCCGATTCCCCCCCCCCAATATTTCTGGCTTAATGCTGTTACAGAATTGATAGGGATAAATATTTTTAGGATTTTAGACATTGCAGCTTGAAAAGTTTAGAAAGATATGAAAGCAAGATTTATAGACCCACGATTGTAGAAGATTCCAGAAAAATGTGACAAAATGAAAAATGTCTGCATAGTATTAACATGTAATTTCTTACTTTTTGAAAATGTCTGGAAGAACAATGAAAACATTACAGTTGAATGTTTTACTTCTGATACTAGAATCTTTTTCTTAACATTTTAATCTTCCCTTTTTCTCCACTTTTCACTAGACACAAACATGGAAAATATCAAAAATGCTTTTAATCTTATCATATGAACAGACATTATAGAAAAGAATTCTTTTATTAATAAAGACATTGAAAACTGGCAATTTAAAAGATTCATCTAATATGTATTGAAAACTGGCAATTTAAAAGATTCATCTAATATGTCTTAATGAATCATACACAGGGCTGGCATTTGGCATTTTCCCATCTGATGCAGTCTCTGAGGATCTTAAATTCTGCTGCCTTTCTAAATTCTAAAAGTTTTGCCATTTCTAGACTCAATTGCTCAGTGTGTCTCTATATTCTAAAAATTATGCCACATCAGCTCTCTAACCAAAGCTTACCATATATAGTTCATATTTCTTCTGAATGTTTACATTACTAAAGAAATAAAATTAGCAGCTTTTTCTATACATTATAAATCCATTTAGTTTATTTAAAATATCAGAAATCTCTAAATAAATCCAAAAATTCTAAAATGAAAAGGAAATGTGGAAGAAAGATACTGAATACATAAAGAAAAACAAAATTATTCTTCAAAGATATGTACAGTTATTATTATGTAATTTACCCAATTGTTTACAGGTTCAGCCCTTACTATAATTTCTGATTTCTATTTTCTCACTAGAATGCAAATCACTTAGACAGTTTTTAAAGCGAGATTTTTGGAATGTAAGACAAGTGTATGTGTTTCTGACCTCCACGTGCTCCCTGCATTAGTTCTTGCCAGCTCTGATAATTTGTAATTATTCGTCTTGGATTACCATTGCCGACATTTGAGTTTGTTATGATGATAGAGTTATTGAGCCAGCCTAAAAATGAAAATAAATTGTATACTCTTTGATCACTAATCCATATTTTTAGTTTAAATTTAACTCTTGTTTCATTACATCACTACAAGCTGTAATTGATTTTGTTAGCATAAGAATATGCCTTTATATTTAAAGTTCTTTTTAAATAAGAATCTTATTTAAACCTTTGTTTGACACTGTAGTTATTTTCAGACATAGTGACAATTTGCTTTATATCTGTTGATGTGTTTTGGACTATTTAACTTTTACCAGATCAAATAAACCCTCATAGGGTACATTGTGGACAGGTTGGGAGATAAAACACACAGAAACTAATGAGAACATTCTTTTGTGTATTGAGACAAATTTCTGTTAGAAAAGGTGCTTAAAGAGAAAGAAATCGATATAAATTAGCCAAAATGTCTGGGAAGGTTTCAAATTTAAAAGAAAGTTATATTGTTGAGAAAATATTTTGTTGAGTATTTGTATGTATCCAAATGATCACAAGGTTGTTGATGCATGTTCCTTGATCTATTGCACCAAGATATTTTACTGTACATTTATTTACAATTTATTTACAAGTCGTATGCTACCTGGCATGTACATGATAGACATATTCTGCCACCTGGCATGTGAATTGATACATCATACTAGTTTTCTGCCACCTGGCATGTGAATTGATACATCATACTAGTTTTCTGCCACCTGACAGATACGATGCAATTACCTCAATTAGCGGTAATACGCCCGACATTTTGGCGTGTCTGCTTCCCTTACGTTCTGTAATGCAACTAACTCTTTGTGCAGTGCGCCCTCTGGGCACAAATCACCGCAATCACCGAGGAGGCCAAAACATCCTCCCCCCCAATGAATTACATTCATCTTAATACAATCTTCCATATATGCAAACAAGTAATGAAAAATATAGAAACTGAAAACATACAAAAACCTTCAAAAAGTATAAAATTACATATCACACCAATCTTCTAGCAAAACATCTATATCTTACTATATGAAATGTTAACTATGAGGGTTAAACTAGAACAAACAAATAAATTATTAGTACAATAAGAAATAAAAAAATAATAAAACATATTCAATATAAACCAAACACTTAAGTTAATGTTCTTCAACTGGTAAAAGACACAGTTTGGTTAATAGGACGTTTAATGTCCCCGTGCACAGTTTTTAGTCTAACCACTCGGACATTACTGTCTCTTCCAGGAAACACTTCTATTACTCGCCCGAGTTTCCAACGTAATGAAGGCATATTATCTTCTTTAATGAGAACCAAGTCATTTAGGCGAATATTTCTGCTAGGCTGTCTCCATTTGCTACGCTGCTGTAGTTGGCACAGTATGACCACCGCTTCCAAAACCCTTGGAACATCTGCTGTGTTAGTTGCCATCTTTGCAATGGAGACACTCGTACTTTGGTTAAATCTTGTTCCGGAACAGCTG